GAAACTAATATCTTATTGAAGCTGTTGTGATATTGTGTTATTTTACTTACTGTTTGGTTTGGCATATATAGCACCCAGCAGAAACAGAGGAAGCCGTATTGGATCATGTGAGCAGCTGGGATAGACCGCTTAATGTCACTACTATTGTGGTAAGTATACCGTTCAAAAACAATGAAGGAGATAAATGAGAGAGAGAGATAGAGGGGGAGAAAGAGCGGGAGGGGGGAGGATGAGAAAGAGAGAGAGAGAGAGAGAAGAGAGAGAGAGAGAGAAGAAAGAGAGAGAGAGAGAGAGGAGAGAGAGAGAGAGAATGAGAGAGATCAAATGTGATAGAGACAAGTGAAGAAGAGACGAAGATCAAATGTGATAGAAACACATTGGAGAAAGATAGTGGGCGGTCAGGAAGAGGAAAATTGCGAAGAAGCCAGACCCAGCGCCAGTGGCCGACGGCATTAGCCGGTGGCTTCTGGGTTGACCGTGTCCCAACCTGCACATAGGAGATTTAATCAGAATTTTTCGGGCAAGGAATGTGGTGCTGTTCACAACGTAAGGTGCGATTTTCGGGCACTTCTTGGCAGTGTGGGGCAGGGAGTCTCTTAAATGTTCTATCTCAAACACATTCTTTATAGAGCCAAGGGCTCCAACCACACTGGCACAATTTTCGTCTTAGTATATTCACATCCTCTAATTTCAATTCTCCAGGATTTTGTACTTGGTTGAATTTTCGCTTTCCTTCACCATGATTTAATATCATCTGGTACGGCACGGTCAATCAGCAGGCATCGTTTTTCTTTCTTGTTGTGGAGGCATCTGTATCAAGAAGACGGTTTGCAGGTATCGTGCGATCCTGTCGTGCACTGCCATATCCGCACATTAATGTAGTATCTCCGATTTGTGATAACTTTATTATTGATTATTATTATTATTCATTATTATTATTATTTCCAAAGAATGACCGGGTTTTTGAATATGAGCTTCTGCATAATTCGGCAAAGCCCTTTCTATAATATTATTATTTTGTGCTTGTTTCGACTAAATGAAAAAAATATAAAGTATAAAAAATGACTCCAAATTGATAACCTAAACTGATTACAGCAATCGCGACCGTTTACTGCTGCTACGTGCCCTAGTATAGGTAGGGGATATTGAAAGGATTTGCTAGTCTCGAGTTCCAGAATCTTGTCACCCCATATCCGATGCTACAAGCATGCACATGGATTTAACGTAGACTTGTGATATGTAAGGCTAGAACGAGCGCGCTCGCTAGCTCTTTAGTAACTATTGATATCTGTGGTAGATATATGTACATTCGTATATATATTATATATAGGATATCGTATATGTTCGTTATAATAAATTAGTGGACCTGTGTTTATAATAAGGAGAGCGCCCTATCCTGTAGCGAGCAAAACTGCTACTTCATTCTCGCCCACCCTTCTCCTGGTCTCTTTTGTCCCACGTTCATCCTCTTTCTTCTTCCACCGCCCCTCGGTTTATTTTCTCTAGCGCCTTCGTTCCGTCTCCCACCCCTCTCTCCCTCAGCAAGCTATATTTCGTACTTTTATGTAGGCCGTCCTGCACGCCTAAAACGGTGCTCGGGCATGCGCAATATCTCTCCCAAAAAATAATAAAATTAATATTTTGCAAAATTTATGAATTTAAAATGAAGAGGAGTTATCCTAGCATAGATTTATATGATAACATTCCATCAGTAGACATTATTTAAGAAATGGGAGGAAGACCTTGCATGTAAGGCCCCGGCAGTTATAATTATGTCATTGTTGATTAGTTCCTGCAACAGCGGCGAGTGGCGCGCATGTCTAACTGTCGATCGTACCAGCAGCCGTGCTCCCGCCGGCCACGCACATGCACAGGACCGTGGCGAGCAACCTCATGTCGTAGCCGTCGTCGTCATCGTCTGTCTGGCTGCGGCGCCCCGCACCGGGTAGACCTTGCAGGGGTACATGTATCGGAAGGCGGCTATCGCAACCGCTCCTACACCATGCTCTAATCAACGTGCTGGCACTATCGCACTGGCCACACCACTTCCCGTGCTTGCGCGAGGCTGCTGTAGTGCGATGACAGTCGACAGGGTAGGAATAGCGCCGCGCGGGTGAGGTATGGCTCGATACAGTCCGCACGCGTTGCGCTGCGAATGCAAATTTAATAAAGCGAAAATCTAAATTCTATCAAATAAAACGCACATTCGTTTTCCGGGTTACATCGACAGACACCTCTATACTGTTCATTAACGTTTTCCCAACGCACGCTCCTCTCATTATCATTCTTCAGCGAATCATGCTTTCAGCAGATGCCATTGCTAATTCACTACAAGAAAATCATAAAGGATAGATATTTTTCTCTGTTTACACGTAGATTCGTTGCAACTTAATCGGGTAAGACCAGGATAACGTACCTCTCGCTTCCCATACGCTGTTTCCTGCCATGGGCGCAAATGCCATGGGGACATGGGGACACGTCCCCCCCACTTTTTGAAGGGTGGGGGACACGATATAAAATGTCCACCGGGTTTTTGAATATGAGCTTCTGCATAATTCGGCAAAGCCCTTTCTATAATATTATTATTTTGTGCTTGTTTCGACTAAATGAAAAAAATATAAAGTATAAAAAATGACTCCAAATTGATAACCTAAACTGATTACAGCAATCGCGACCGTTTACTGCTGCTATGTGCCCTAGGTAGGGGATATTAAAAGGATTTGCTAGTCTCGAGTTCCAGAATCTTGTCACCCCATATCCGATGCTACAAGCATGCACATGGATTTAACGTAGACTTGTAATATATAAGGCTAGTACGCGCGCGCGCTAGCTCTCCAGTAGCTATTGATATCTGTGGTAGATATATGCACATTCGTATATATATTATATATAGGATATCGTATATGTTCGTTATAATAAATTAGTGGACCTGTGTTTATAAAAAGGAGAGCGCCCTATCCTGTAGCGAGCAAAACTGCTACTTCATTCTCGCCCACTCTTCTCCTGGCCTCCTTTGTCCCACGCTCAGCCTCTTTCTTCTTCCACCGCCCCTCGGTTTATTTTCTCTAGCGCCTTCGTTCCGTCTCTCACCCCTCTCTCTTTCAGCAAGCTATATTTCGTACTTTTATGTAGGCCGTCCTGCACGCCTAAAACGGTGCTCGCGCATGCGCAATATCTCCCCAAAAAAATAATAAAATAAATATTTTGCAAAATTTATGAATTTAAAATGAAGAGTTATCCTACCATAGATTTATATGATAACATTCCATCAGTAGACATCATTTAAGAAATGGGAGGAAGACCTTGCATGTAAGGCCCCGGCAGGTATACCAGCCAGTACACAATCTGGCTACGTTAGTGTGTTAGCGCATGCGCAATATCTCACAAGAGGAGTTATATTTTGTGATGAAAAATAGCATTTAAAAGTGGTTAGGGGTATCTCTCAGCATAGATTCCGCCTAATAAACTTTTATCAGTAAACGGCCTGTGTTTATAATTAGGAGAGCGTCGCCTATACAATGTAGGGTACAAAATACGCCTACCTTATGCCTTTGCCTCCTTTCGCCTTGCTCCCTGTCCCTACGCTCAGCCCGTTCGTGCTTCTCTACCGCCCCCAGCTATCTTCTCTGACGCATGTCCTTAGTCTCAGCTGTCAACCATCTTTTCCTCGTCAAGCTATATTAAAATGTTACCGTCAAGACGGCAGCTGGCAACGCCTAAAACAGCGTGCGCCGCGCAATGCGCAATAATTCTTATCGATGAGCAATCGATTTTGCAAAGATTATGCATTTAATGAAGAGGATTATGCCTAGCATAGTATATTATAACATTCTATCATGTAATGCATCAATTTAATAAATAGAAGGAAGACTTTGCATGTAAGGTCCCGGGCTGCCGTATACTCAGCTAGTAGCCAATCTGGCTTACGTAGTGTGGTAAGGCGCATGCGCAATATCTCACCAGATAAGTAATATTCATGAGATATTCATTTAAAATAGTTAGGGGGTATATCAGCATAGATTATCGCCTAATAAACCTTTATCAGTAGACCTATGTTCATAATTAGGCAGAGGCGCCCGATAGATGTAGATACAAAACGCCTACCTTTATGGTCCCTCGCGTCCTTTCGGCCTTGCCTTCTCTTGTCGCTCGCATCAGCTTCCTTCTTCGTTTACCGCCCCAGCGATTTTCTCTGGGGGCGCATTCCTTAGTCTCCTAAGTCCACCCTCTTTCCCCAGCCAAGCTATATTATAATGTTTACCCTTAGACGGCAGCTGCACAACTAACGACGGTGCGCGCGCTAGGAATGCTGCAGGATATCTATCGACAGAAATCGTATTTGCAAAATTATGCATTTAAAAAGAAGAGGGGTATCCTAGCATAGATTAATATTATAACTATTCCATCAGTTAGAATTCATTTAATAAATAGGCAGGAAGACTTGCATGTAAAAGTCCCGGCGCGTATTACCAGCCAGTGACACATCTGGATACGTTAGGTGTTAGCGCATGCGCCAATATCCACCAGAACGGAGTTATATTTTGTGATGAATATGCATTTAAATAGTTAGGGGTATTCAGGCATAGGTTTCCCTAATAAACTTTTATCGGTTGATCATGTGTTATAATTAGTGGGAGCGCCTAGCATGTAGGGTACTAAAAATAAAAACACCTACTTTATGCCAGCTTCCGCGCCTTTCCCTTGCCTCCCCCTGCCCCACCAGCATTCTTCTTTCTCTATACGCACCACGCTATCTTTCCTGCCGCATTTCCTCAGTTTGCCCATTCCGCTCTTTCCGCTCAGCAAGCTATGTTATAATGGTTTACGCGATGCAGACGGCAACGTGGCACGCCTAACAACGGCGCGCGCAATAGCGCAAATATCGCTCCGCGAGGAAATCGTATTTTGGGCAAAAGATTATGCATTAAAATGAAGAGAAGTTATCCATAGCATAGATTTACATAAATAACATTCTAATCCAGTAGACATCAATTTAATAAAATCGAGAAGACGCATGTATGTAAAGGTCCCGGCTCGCTATAAAGGTTTATTAGGGAAATCTATGGGGCTGAGATAATCCCCCTAACAATTTAAATCAGATTCCTCACAAAATATATACTCCTCTGGTGAGAATATTGGCGCAATGCAGCTAACAACTTAAGCGAGCCAGATTGTGTACTGGTCGTTACCAGCAGGACCTTACATGCATGTCTTCCTCATCGATGTTATTAAATGATGTCTACTGATTGCATATTGTTATGAATATAAATCTATGCTAGGATAACTCCTCTTTATTATAATGGCATTAATCTTTTCAAAATACAATGTTTTTTCTCGAAATATGCGGCATGCCGCGTACCGGTGTTAGCGTGCAGTGGGCCGTGCTGAACGTAAACATTATAATATAGCTTGCTGAGGGGCGAAAGAGGGGAGGAAATCTGAAGGAATGCGGCAGGGAAGATAGCTGGGGGCGGTAGAAGAAGAAGGATGCTGAGTGAGGGCTAGGGGGAGCAAGGCAGGAAGCGAGGCATAACGTAAGGTGTTTTGTACCCTAACCTGCTAGGGCGCTCCCCCTAAATTATACAACACCATGTCAACCGATAAAAGTTTATTAAGGGAAACGCTATGGCTGAAATACCCCGCTAACTATTTGTAAATGCTAAATATTCATCACAAAATAATAACTCCTTGGTGAGATCATTGCGCATGCGCTAGGACACACTAACGTATCTCAGATTGTGGTACTGCTGTATACGCAGCCCGGAGTCTTTACATGCAAAGTCCCTTCCTCCCTATTTATAACTGATCTACTGATCGGAAATGTTATAATATAAATCTATGCTAGGATAACCCCTCTTCTTTTTAAAATGCATAATTTTTGGCAGAAATACGATTTCTAATCGATAGATCATGCGCATGCGCGCGCCGCGTCGTAGGCGTGCAGTGCCGTCTAAGGTAAACATTTATGATATAGCTTGCTGAGGGAAAAGCAGGGATGGGAGACTAAGGAAATGCGGGCAGAGAAAATCGTCTGGGGGCGGTTAAAAGAAGAATGAAAAGGCTGAGCAGGGACAAGAGAGGCAAGGGGAAAGGACGCGAGGGCATAAAGTAGGCGTTGTAATCCTAACATGGCTAGGCGCTCTCCTACAATTAGAACATAGGTCTACTGATAAAGTTTATGATTGAGGGAATCATGGCTGATATACCCCCTAACTATTTTTAAATGCATATTTCCCTCAAATGAAATATAACTTCTCTGGTGAGATATTCGCGCATGCGCTAACACACTAACGTAGCCAGATTGTGTAACTAGCTGGTATAGGCAGCCGGGACCCTTTACATGCACAAGTGCCTTCCTCTATTTATAAATTGATGTCCTCATGATAAGAATGTAATAAATATAATCTATGGCTAGGATAACTCCTCTCATTTTAAAATGCATATCTTTGCAAAATAACGATTCGCTATCGATAGAAAAAAAAATTTATTTTGCGCATCGCGCGCACCGTGTTAGGCGTGCAGTGCCGTAATGAGGGTAAACATTATAATATACTTTGCCGAGGAAAAGAGGGGACAGAGAACTAAGGAATGCGTCAGGAAAGATAGCTGGGCGCTTGTAGACAGAAATGAAGCTGAGGGCCGAGGGGACAGGGGAGCAAGGGAAAGGAGGAAGAACAAAGCGCATAAAGTAGTGTAATTTTTGTATTCCTCTAATGTTTAGGTGCGCTTCTTCGTGTGCTAATTATGATTTACACAGGGTTTACTGATAAAGTTATATTAGGGAAATCTATGCATGAGAATACCACACCCCCTAAGCGCATTGTTAAATCATATTTATCAACAATATAACTCCTCTGTGAGATATTGCGCCAATGCGCTAACACACCCTAACGTAGCTCAGATTGTGTACTGGCTGGTATACCTGCCGCGGGCCTTA